GGGGGGGGGGGGGGGCAGAGGAGAAGTGCCTCCTGCTCGTCTGTAGAGTGAGTCAGTCTGCTGTGCGCGAGTTTCGGCGTTAAATTCGCAGGGTTTATGGGGCTGCTCTGCTCCCCACCACCACCCTGCTGCCTCTCGCTCTCTCTAGTTGCCACGCCCCCCACGGGGCGCCGAGGGGCGTGGCGGGGTGCATTACCCACTAATTAGAGAGGGAGGGGGACTTTTGCTGCCGCGCTGCGCCCCTCACCAGTCGAGCAGGGCTTAACTGACTGAGGGGTGGGAGCAAAAGGGGGGGAATCCTTTGCTGGTGGATGGTTGGCTGGCTTGGTGTTGCTCACGGGGTTGTCGGAGGAGGGCAGGGCTCCCGCGGCCTCTGGACAAGGATGGCGGTGCCGGCATGGGGGGAGTCAGAGGTCGGTCAACAGTGAAAGGTGTCGTCCGGTGGCCCCCTGACTCTTTCCGTTGGTGCCTCTTTGTCATCCTCCCTGCCCCCTTCACCCCTCTTGGGAAGTCCTTTTCCTTGCGACTGAAACGGTCGCCCCGCCGCCGCGCTTGGTGCTGCTTTGTGATGCTCTGTGTACTAAGACCTCCTTTCTTTTGTTTTGTCTTTTCAGAGCGAGGCGCACACATTCGAGTGTGGCGGTGGTCATGTAAGCAACCAATCAAATAATCCCAAAGGGGCGTCAAGTAGATAATATACGTTTCAAAGATTATTTCCACTTTAAGAAATAGTATAAACATTCATTAGATGACATTAAATTACATTTTATAGTTACCGATTTTCCCCTCCCTCTCGTTTTGTCGCATTTTGCTAGGTCGACCGATTGTGGATGATTTCAAAGTTTTGGTGAAATGGAAAAGTCTGAGCCTAACTTTTAACACCCCTTTATCTGGAACTGTTTGAGCCACAGTCGGCTGGCGATATTTTTCCGGCATGATGTCCTGCATGAAACCGAACTTCTAAGAGCTCATGGAAAGTCATCTTTGTGGACAAAACTTTGAGTATGTGCTACGTACTTTATACGTTAATTGCAATATGTTTTAGGGCCCATTTCACGCAGAAGAATTTCAAACTAGTGGTTTTGAGGCCAGATTTAGAAGACCATATTTTTTTGTCAATTCTGAGCGAGAATTTCGGATCCAGCTGGGCACTCCTGTCTTGACGGAGTCAGAATGAAATTTCGTCAATTTTGGTCAATGTTGTCGAAACTGCTACACCCTAAACCATTTTAAACGACCCTAACTCCGAAAGTATTTGATTGACAGTGGGGAGATTTCACTTCGTGATGTCTTTAAAATACAACCTTATTTCGGATACATCAGATACAGAGTTTAGTCGTAAGATCTTTGGAATCGTTTTAGTGAAATTATCCCAAGCAAAACGATACATTATTTGCATATCACGAGGCATATATCACAAGAGCGGGCACCTTTTAGGGTTGTCCCCCCAAAAATATATCCCTTTCGCCAACCAAACGAACGATTTGTTTCACCCAGGACGACGCAATAATTTTCAGAAAGTCGTTATCTGAATGCCAGTCTTGCCCCCCCCCCCCTTTTTCCTCTGTGCGAGTGGACTCCAGGCGCGACGATGCCATGCGCGACGGGCTTTTGCGCGCGTGTCGAAAGGGTTGCCGGCCCCCACGGGGCCCTTCGCGCGCGCAGCAGCAGCCTGCTGGTTCGACCTGCTGCGACCTTTACCTAAAGATACGTACCATCGTATACAGCAAGGTGGAAAACCTAATATGTTTCCAGTTACATACTGATGCGGTTTGGCGTGGCGTGCTCATTCGTCTCGGTTGTCCATTCAAGATTCTGCGCGCTGGAATGTCATTCCGCGCTCCAGTGTGACGCGAGCCTGCAGTCTCCTGGGAGAGGTGAGGTGTGCGTCTGGCGCGGCGAGGTGGGCCCCCCGCGGTCACCCTCTCTGTGGCTCCATTTGTAGTCGCGGCAGGCCCCGTGAGCCGAGCCAGCCGGCGCTCGGCACTACTTTGTACCAAATCAGCCCTGGCAGGCGGCCAGTCCATGCAGCAGCAGCCCCCCCACCTCCACCCTTTCCCCCCAGTGCCACGCGGTGTCACGCCGCACAGAGCGTCAAAAAAGAAAATACTTCTGGAGGCTCGACGAGGATGTAATTTGCTACCCAATTTGAAGTCTACTCGAGTTTCGACCACTGGGGGCTTCTGCGGCATCATTGGCCACAACTGGGAAAAGGGGTTGGGGGGGGGGGTCGCGGTGGTCTGGCGCGTCACAAGCAAATAGCGAGTCTTCATTAGGTTTTTGCCGAGATTTCGAAGAAAACAAATGATTTCTCTTTTTTTGTGTCTGTAATCACTGTTAAAAATTTCCACGGAATTTTGAACGGAATTGTCAAGAAATTTTTTTCACGGTATGTACCGTAAATTTTCCGTATTTTTACGGAAACCATACGGACGGGTTGCACCGTAATTTGAAATACGGACAAGTCCGTATCTTTAAATTACAATCATCCCGTTACGGTTTCGTACCGTATTGGGAATTTACGGTGAGTTCCGTAAGAATTCCGTAATTAGCCTACGGAATTTCTAACAGTGATCTGAAGTTGAGCGAAAACTCGTGTGATGTGGTATCACGGACCCCTCTCAGTCGTCCGGTGTTGAGGCAGTCTCCCCACCGAGGTACGGCTTTATCAGCGGCCCACTCGAGCCGAAAAACATGATCACGCGTCGAAAAACATTGTGCCACTGTGCCGCTTTGATTACAATGCTTTACTTTGGCGGGCGTAAGAGGAACATTCCGAATAACCTAATCTGAATGTGTAACGACTTTAATTTAAGAAAGACTACACAAAAATACAGCAATTTATGGTAACTTTTAGACGAATGATGAACCCCACCTGTGGGGTGGGCCCACCACCCCCCACACTGAGAAAAGCGTTTTGTCCTGATAACCGAAAGAGTGTTGAATCAATGAAAATTTACTCCCTCAAGCCAACTAAACATTTGATATTTGATCAAGAGTTCAAAACAAAATATGATCAGGTCGATCACACCTTTATCAACATGACTAAATCACGCGATCAGGGCGACCAACATTGGTCTGCAGTAAGTAAAATTTTCTTGGCTTTCGTTTTAGTTGCGCGGATCAAACGGTTTTTTGAGTGCACCCTGAGAGAAAAGACGTGCTGTCTTAGCTGGAATCGTTGCTAAATAATAAGCAGTTGTGTTGTTGCTGTTGTTTTTTTTTGGGGGGGGGG